TGTTCTGTGGCACACACTTTCTGTGGCACACACATTCTGTGGCACACATTCTGTGGCACACATTCTGTGGCACGAACATGGGAGTATTTTTCACTCTGCGACACTGTTTTCAAATACATTTATTACTCAAATAAACAAAACATAATCAAAAATTTAAACAATAAAGAGATAAAGCCTTGGTTAATTTTCTCGGCTGAGAGGTCATGTTCCCTTGTGGTAACATTGCTATTTCTCACCAACTAGTCACTAGTGTGGACTTGGGGGATGGGGACTGGGAAATGTGGATCCAATGGACTCATGTTAGCCTGGCCCCTAAGACTCCAGCCTCTTCCTTATCCAAGTCCTTAGTCAGGTGGTTTTGTTGTTGTTGTTGTTTTTGTTTTTCTTTTGGGGGTGGGCAGTGTCAAGACAGGGTTTCTCTGTGTAGCCCTGGCTGTCCTGGATCTCACTCTGTAGACAAGGCTGGCCCCAAACTCAGAGATCCACCTGCCTCTGCCTCCCCAGTACTGGGATTAAAGGGGTGCTCAGCCACCACTGCCTGACCCTAGTCAGGGTTTTAATAAGAGTCAAACCACAGTGACGTGTGTGTGTGTGTGTGTGTGTGTGTGTGTGTGTGTGTGTGTGTGTCCATGTCTGTCCAGCTTCTCTGAAACTGGAAGGGAAGTGGGGTTGGTCATAGTTGCACCAGACTACCCGGAAGAGGTGTCCTCACAGCAGAAGCCCAGTAACCTGCGTCAGGCCATTGACCCCCGGGCCCCTCTGGTCTCAGCACCACTGGGACTCTCTCCCTGATGTGAGAGTGGGAAGAGGCTGTCAGAAGGTGACTTGCCCCAGTCCCTCCCGGGTCCTGCCCCTCCCCTCCCCCAGCTGCAAGGCCTCCACTGTAAGTTATAAGAGTGTAGCTGTAGAGCTTCTTTCTTTCTTTTTTTCTTTTTTCTTTTTTTGGTTTTTCGAGACAGGGTTTCTCTGTGTAGCTTTGCGCCTTTCCTGGATCTCGCTCCGTAGACCAGGCTAGCCTCAAACTCACAAAGATCCACCTGCCTCTGCCTCCCGAGTGCCGGGATTAAAGGCGTGCGCCACCACCGCCCGGCTACAAGAGCTTCTTATAGCTACAGCTCCATACTGGGTGACTCAGAAATAGGGGCTTCCAGGAGGGCTAGCAAGGGGGTTATCATGAGCACAAGGGCCTCCAGGGCTTCCTGACAGAGCTGTGGAAAATCCCATGGATTTCTCTGAAATAGTTTTCAGAGGCAACCGAAAGGCTAGGGGCATTTGCTTTTTTCCTCAGGCAAGGGTGGACAGTTTTATAAAATTCTCGAAGATGCCTGGGCCTTCCAAAAGGCCAGAGAACCCATGCAGTGGCTGCAGGTTGACAGGCTGGAGGAGTCTTCCTTGTGCCTGACAGGCCTTGGAGGAGAAAACCCCAACTGAGGAAATGCCTCCATAAGACTGGGCTGTGGGCAAGCCTGTAGGGCATTTTCTTAATTAGTGATTGATGGGGGAAGAGCCCAGCCCACTGTGGGTGGTGCCATCCCTAGGCTGGTGGTCCTGGCGTCCACCAGTAAGCAAGGCCTCTGCATCAGCGCCTTCCTCCTTCAGTGACGGATCACGAATGTGGAAGTAGAAGCTAGATCATCCCTTTCCTCCCCAGGTTGGTTTGGTCATGGTGTTTCGTCACAGGAATGGTAACCCTGACTAGGACAGCCACCTAGCAAGGGGATGAACACAGCCTCTCTGCGGCACTGCACTGGGCGCCATGCCTCAGGACGGCTGCTCCCTGCTCGCTCCTGCCCCTCAGACCCCAGGCCAGGGAAGGCTGGGGTTCTCAGCATGGCATCCGCAGCTGGAGGGACTGGAAGACACTGAAGTCAGCGTGGTGCGGTCACAACCTCCGGCACGTCCTGACACATCCTGTACGCAGCGGTTCTCAGATAACTTTCCACAGACAGGCAGTGGCTTCCTCTTTTCTCTCCATGGTTATTCATGAAGGCCTCCATCGACCGGTGTGAGTGTCCCTAGCACGCAGAGGAGACAGACTCACAGTGGAGACCACCCACCCCACCCGAGGAAAGACCTTTCCCCTCAAACCTGCCTGACCACAGAACCAGCCCTCTTCCTGCCTCTGCTGTCCGGCCTTTGGTTTGTAGGTTTCTAGGGGAGATGCTCCTGGCTGAAGACAGCTGGGCTTAGCTGGGCGGTGGTGGCGCACGCCTTTAATCCCAGCACTGGGCAGGCGGATCTCTGTGAGTTCGAGGCTAGCCTAGTCTACAGAGTGAGCTCCAGGACAGCCAGGGCTACAACAGAGAAACTTTGTCTCAAGAAAAAAGAAAAAACAAAAAAGAAAAAAGCCAGGCTTTGCCATCCCTTCAGGGGTGAAGCCAGATAACTGCCACTTTCTAGCACTGTGACCTTGGGGATGATTTCCTTTACCCTTTGGAATCTATTTCCTCCCACAAAGATTGAAGACAATGTGAATTAAATCATTCACAGTTATGAGAGGAGCTGGGTGTGGTTCTCACAGCTCTCAGCCACCAGGACCTCTTCCCTCTCTTTTACCCCTTCCTCTCAGCCCCCCCCCATGTGACGGGGGTGGGGTGGGGTGGGGGGTGTTCTAGTGGTCTGAAGGATAACCAGATGTGTCAAACACCAGCACTTGTAGGGCTTACCTTTCACTATTAAATACACAAGAGAAAATGATGTAAGATGGAAAGTGTTTTGACTGACAGGTCAGGTTTTGGACTGCAGTTCCTTAGCCAAGGTGCTTTGCGCCTTATTGGAGACAGCGCATCACTGTGGGAGTGTGGGGGCACTGGACACTACTTACCTTCTAGAACAGTGGTTCTCAACCTGTGGGTCACAACTCCAAAGACCATTGAAAACCACAGATATTTATATTAAGATTCATCACAGTAACAAAATTACAGTTCTGAAGTAGCAATGAAAATAACTTTATGTTTGGGGGTCACCACAACATGAGGAACTGTATTAAAGCGTCACAGCATAAGGAAGGATGAGAACCACTGATCTAGAAGCTCGACGGTCTTGAGCATCTCGTTAGGTCCATTAAGCTATAACCCCATAAATGGATGAATTTACGTATGCTGTTGGAGCCATACAGATCCAGTCAGCTCCCACAGACCCCTTGTAAACACTGTGATATTGGGTACCAAGCCTTCAACATATAAGTTTTTGGGGGGACATTTGAGAGCTACACCATAACACACATCGCCAAGATGCCAAGGTACAGAGAACCACAGCTGGAATCTGGAAACCTTGATAGGAACCCAAACCAAGTTTCCTGGTCCAATCCTACCTACAACACAGGGCACTGAGTGCTGGCCCTTCAGGCCTCCCACAAAGCCGGTGGTTGGGATTCTGTGACTTTCCCTGGCCAGCAATCGGCATGTTGACTCTGCCACCATCTCTGAGAGATGATCCTTTCTATTGCTGTTGAGATACAGTTTCTCTACCAAGCTCAGGCTAAGCTCAAACATGTAAGCATCCTGTCCCTGCCTCCTGAGTGCTGGGGTCCTGAGTATATCCCACCTTACCCAGAGATATGGCTTTTCCCCTTCTTTCTTTCCTTTTTTTTTTTTTTTTTTTTTTTTTTTTCCGTGTTGCTCTGACTGTCTTGGAACTTACCGTCTAACCTAGGATAACCCTGAATGCCTCCTGCCTCCACTTCCTGATGCTGAGATTACCGGCATACACCACCAGGTTTATGCCATGCTGG